AAAAAAAAAAAAAAAAAAAAAAAAAAAAAAAAAGAAAGAAAAAAAGTGGCTCCTGGGGCTGGTGAGTTGGCTCAGCAGGTAAGGGTACATGTTGTCAAACCCGAGTTCAATCTCCAGAACCCATGTGATAGAGGGAGAGACGCTGCAAGTTGTCCTTTGAACTTCATGTGTGTACCACAGCACATAAACCCCCTCTTCAGTCTTTGCCACACACACACAAAAAGTAAAAATAATCTGTTCCCTGCTGGTCCAAATGATAGTAATCACTCGTACACATGCAATTAAATATTTGTGAAGCCTGTACTCGGCCTTCAGTACAAAACAGAAGAAGCTTATGGGCAGCTGGGCATTCTCGGCCTCTTGCCCTCAAGGCTGGTATAGTTGCCACCCTACATTACTCACTCACCGGAAGCTGTACACAGCATAGTTTACGGAGATATGGCATTCTGTAAATGACACACTTTCTGGATTCTCAAAACCTGCACTGTAAGAAATGTCTCAATTTTCTAAAAACCCCTGTCCCATGTCCAGGCACCTTCCTGTCACTAACAGAGTGAGACTGTCCACTCTGGCTTTCCCCAGGGCTCTCACATATCCGTTCACTATTTCCTGTTGTAAGACAGTGGAAAGCAGATAATGGCTGTTGGTAGATAAGTAGGTCTTGAATTTATTTACAAACAAGACCTGTTCTATCTACCTTTTCATTTAGGAGGCTAAAAGCAGAGTCGGCTTGACTTCAAGGACTCTATTTTCTTAAGTCTCCAGAAGAATATGACTGAATCCACCATGTAAAACATTATTTTTCTTTAAATGTCTGTAATCCCACAATTTAGAAGGTAGAAGCAGGAGGATCAAGAGTTCAAGGTCATCCTCAGCTACACAGTAAGTTTGAAGCCAGCCTGGGCTACGTAAGACCCTATCTGAAGAAATTAAACTAAAAGTCAGGCATGGTGGCTCAACTCTGTCACCTCAGCTGTTAGCAGGAGGCAAAGCAGGAGGGTAGCCACAAGTCTAAGGCTAGTCTGGACTACAAAATGAAACCGTGGTCTGAAACCACTGTTCTTAAAATGCCTGGATGTTAAGAAAAAGGTAATTTAAGAGATCTGAACACTGTAGACACGCTCTCCCTCGGTGCCAGTGGTTAACAGAGCTAAATGCATGGCAGTGGTTCGCCTGTCAGCATCCGCCACAGCAAGGACTGTACCTGTGGCTCGGCCCTGCTGCCACTTGAGAGAGCTGTTGCCGCATGGCTCTTGCCAAGCTCACCATGTCCCTCCACATCACTGTTTGCGTGTTCTGCTGATGCCAATCCTGGAAACAAATGAGGCTGCACTCACTGTCGGACTCACTTCTCTTCCTTTTCTCAGACTCTGGCAGAACCTGGTTTCCCTGGTATTTTTCACTTACTCATATTTGGCAGAATTAAACCATCATTTACTTGCATTTTTAGAGTTAAACTGGTTAGACCTGATTCAAGAACATGCAGTTACTCAGCCAAAACACTCCCATAGTATGTGAACTTGGACCCAAATCTGCCTCATTCCTGATTCTACATTTGGATCTTTTCCTTGAAGGGGATTAAGAGATTTAAACAGTGGACTGGAGACAGGAGTGCAATACAGACACTGGGAACACACGCAGCTAACAAAACTTGAGTTTCCCAGATGAGTACTCTAATAGAACAACACACTTCTTAGACATGGACTGTCAGGTATACACTGACTTCTCCCAAGCCCGCCCGTCATCTGCCACCTACTATTTCCTTCCACATGGAAAACATTAATCTGAAGGGGAGAGAAGCAGCAAGAGGTGAGAAACAAGAAGTGGAAAGCAGGACGGCGCTCTGGAAGAAGGCGTAAGCTACTCAACAGTGTCTTTTTACCACTCACACTTTCTGAACCAGCCCCAGATTCCTAACACCTAGTGGGAGGCGCCTCCTCTGTCCTCCCAATGCCTGTGTGGCTCAAAATCACCTCTGAGAAGCAGTGCCTAATTCCCATTGCTCTCGAGGAGAGTTTCATACTACACACTCACCGTTTACAGAAAACTCGGGTGTTGAGATTGCGCCCACTGGCCTGTGTCTGCGCCACTTGAATTCCACACATTAAAGGCGTGGCTGCGGCTGCATGATCTCTGAACGATCAGAGCGTGGGAACACCGGCTCTGCTTTCAGGGAACTTGTGTACCTGAAGAGAGAAACGGGACATCAATGATCCCACAAATCGTCATTAGAAATCAAGGCGGCTGTCAATGTATGCTCTTCGGGGCTGTGAGATGAGGTTAAAAACATGGGCCAGTAATCCTCTTCTGTCCAAATACACCCAGGGGCCTGGCGTAGTCCCATCTGTAACTGTGGTGACTTCTGATCTGTGCAGACAGGAAGGGCAGCGGAACCCAGGGTGGTGTTGGATGTGCTCCCAGTTACCACAACAAACTCTGACGCTCACATCTCATACCTGGTATAGTGTTGACTATTCCAAAGAAAGCGCAGAGGGCGGGGCTGGAAGGGAGGGAGGAAGGGGCTACGGCGGGGATGCAAAGTGAATAATAACCTGTGATTAATATAAAAAAATAAAATAAATTATAAAAAAGAAAGCCCAAACATCCATGCTGTGCTTTTAAATGCTCTGAATCATAAATTTGGTTCACAATCCCTGGTCCAGACTAGTATGTGTAAGTTGCCTCCTCACCCACTAAGCTTAACTCTCTAGCTGGAAATTTAAGCGTGTCTTAGTTAGTGTTCTATTGCTGTGAAGAGACAATATGACCACTGCAACTCTTATAAAAAGGAAACACTTAATTGGGGCTGGCTTACAGTTCCAGAGGTTTAATCCATTATCATCATGGCAGGAAGCATGGCAGTGTGCAGGCAGACAAGGTCCCAGGGGAGCTGAGAGCCGTACATCTTGACTTGCAGGCAGCAGCAGGAGACTGTGCCACACACTGGGCGTAGCTGAGCACAGGAGACCTCAAAGCCTACCTCCACAGTGACACACTTCATCCAACAAAGCCACACCCCCAAATAGTGCCACTCCTATGGGCCAAACATTCAAACTGTCTATGAGGGCCATACCTATTCAAACCACCACAAGGTACAACACAACAATATGGCTACCTATAGGTTTATTGTATCAGACACAAAGTCCTTGTGCTCACATATAAGAACTAAGGCAACCAGATGTTAATCATGCTGCATTGTCAAAAGGAAGAGATGTATAACCTGTTTATTGCCCAGAAGGCTGGGAATGGATGTGCTAGCCTGGTGACCTCTGTTCTGTTTGTATGCCAAGGGGCTCCATCAGGACCAGTAACAGGACCAGAGCTGCTTAACAGCCTCGGTGACCTCTGTGCTATCTCAGGGCCAAGCCACACCTGCCCCTCACCCCTCGAAAACAGGAAGGAGATGGTTAATAGCCTAGTGACCTTTGCACTACCTGTGTGACTGAGACCATACCAGTTCCTCTCCAAGGCCCTTAGAATAACACATGTAGAACTATATAAAATCCATCTTTATGGAGGAGGTGACACGTACTTTGTAAAGAGCTTCAATGTAATTATGCTTTATTGGGCACATGCAATTGTGATACACAGGAAACTTTACCTTAAATATGCCTAAAAAAACCACCCAGGTCAGATTCTAGAAGTTTGAACTGATGCTGGCTACTAAGTCACGTTGAACCAGACTTCCGTCCTGCCTCACGTGGATCGACACTGCTGGCCGTGGTGTTTGCAGAGACGCCCATAGTTTATAAGCTAAGATTTCTGTAGAGGAACTTATACCCTGTAATCAGTGTTATGATGAAAAGTGTTTTGTCCTTATTAACCTTGGAAGGCTTTCAAAGGCTCCTGCAGGAAACATATTTTAATCATTTTCAGTCGTGAAAGGTAATAACATACTTGTAAAGGCTACAGCTACTTCCTGATTCCTTCTTAAATGTGAAGTGTCTTTAAACATTTTATAGACTTCCTCATGAAGTGACATGAAACAACAATTAAAGCAACTTAGTTCTTAGTTACAGTCCTTCTCTCTAAAGGACCAAATGTAAACATTACATCTCTCTCAGTTTTTGTTGTGTTTTTTTGAAGACAAGGTTTCTCTGTGTAGCCTCGGCTGTCCTGGACTTGCTTTGTAGACTAGGCTGGCCTCAAACTCAGAGATCTGCCTGCCTCTGCCTCCCTGAGTGCTGGGAGTTCAGGCGTATATCACGACTGAAAATGATTAAAATATGTTTCCTACGGGGGCCTCTGAAAGCCTTCAAGGTTAATAAGTACAAAAGACTTTTCATCATAACACTGACATGATTTGTCCTTCCCTGTTGTACTCTCACAAACAGCAGAGATGATCCTGCCGCTGCCTCGGGAGTGCTAGGATTAAAGGCATGCGCTACCATCGACTGGCTAGCTTTCACTTTCTAATACACAGATACTAATAGCCTACAAATGTTTTGAGCTCTCAATATTTTCAGGGTATCTTGAGCCCAAAACTTTTGAAATGTGTTCATGTGTAGTACTTATGGATCCCCCACAGTGAACACCTAACTGAATGGGCTCCTTATTACTATGGTTTCCTGTACATGATGCTAATATGCTTCTGTGTTTGGCAATATACAGTTAATTTTTTGGACCTTTTACACTCCCTTTCTTCACAGTTTTTACTACCCTACACGTTTCCATTTTAATATAAGAAAGATGACAGCAATAATGCAGGTTACACTTAAAACTGAACAAGTAACAAATGTCAACATAAAGACAGAGGTTTGATGTGTGCACTCCACAGCATTCTCTTCTGGATCTGTAGGCAAGTTACAAATTCTTTATAGTGAAGTTTTCATAAACAGTCTATAGAGGAACAGCACTGGGAGGCAGAGGCAGGTGGATCTGAGTTCAAAGCCAGCCAAGCCAGTCTACAGAGCGACTTCTAAGACAGCCAAGGCTACATAAAGGAAGCTAGTCACACACACTCACACACACACACACACACACACACACACACACACACACACACTAAATAGATAGATAGATAGATAAATAAATAAAAGTTTAGGGTAAATTTCTATAGGTTGTTGCAACAAACCCACAGTGAAAGCTCAAATAAGTATCCAGCTACAAGCCTTCCAGGGGGCGCCCAGATCTTATTTAATCATCTTCAGGATTTTCTGTTCAACAGCAGGTAACAGGTAAGGAAAATCCCCACCTTCACATTCTGTTCCTACACAGTATACTGGAAATGACAGACATGACAAACTAGTCTCCATGCAGACCAGTGCTTCTCAGCCTTCCTAATGCTTCAACCGTTTAAAACTCTCATGCTGCGGTGACTCCCCAACCACAAAATTATTTTTGTTGCTATTTCATAACTTTAATTTTGCTACTGTTATGAATCTTACTATAAATACCTGTATTTTCCAATGGCCCCTCAGCGGCCCCTATGAAAGGGTCATTTGACCCCCAAAGAGGTTGTGATCCACAGATTGAGTATCAAAATGGCTGACGAATGGCTTTTCTTTTCACACCTTATCTAAACATTTTTATAATTTATTTTGACATTATTTCATACTGTGTGTGTGTGTGTGTGTGTGTGTACGTATGTGAGTGGATGACATATGTTTGTGATGCCCTCGGAGACCAGAAGCCTGTGTTGGACCGCTTGGATCCTGAGGTATTGGCGATTGTAGGCAACATGATGTGGGTGCTGGGAATCAAATTCAGCAAGAGCCACAAAAGCTCTTAACTACTAAGCCATCAAACTGGTATCTAAATGCACCTCACCGCCCTCTTCACTCCTTCAAGGCTCCAGCCTCCGACTCACCCACCCACAACACCACAAACCAATTTACATAGCCTCCTTTGGACAAAAATTCTGCGCTGGAAATGAAATGAGGTTTTAGTGATGAATGCGTCCTTAACAAACCATGCGACTTTCCAGCAGTCTCCTTGACGCCCTTCACCTTCAGTTGTAGCTGAAATAAGACGTATCATCAAGACGGCTTTGTTCCATTTCTTTTTTCTATTTATTATTTTATTTGTTTGTTTGCTTTTTCGTGTAGCCTTGGCTGTCCTGGAACTCGCTAAATTTTAGCACGCGCTAAGATTTCTGCAACAGGTGACTGATTCCTCCAAGCAGCAGCCATGATTCGGAAGGCGTGGATTTGCAGAGTCGATATTCATCAGCTCTGTGAATGCGAATGTGCATGTATGTATGTATGTATGCACGTATGTACGTACATATGCACGTGTGTGCTTAATTAAATTTTAGTCTGTGTGAGCGCGTATTTCTTCTTCTACATCTACCTATCACTGCAGCTCCCTGGGCTACCAACCTTCTTTCAAAAGAGACGGAGAAAATCAAGCGCAGAGAAAGCGCAGCTTCTACTCTTCCTACCCATCTCTTCGACCCCCACTCCTGGGACGCCTGCCACGTCAGCCCACCTACCTGGACACGACTGTCGCCAACCACACCAGGTGGGCCAGAGTCTGGCCCAACTTCGCGGGACAAAACGGGCTAGCAGCAGGTGTCAGGCTCCGAGTCGCAATTTCTCTCTCCTTCCGGTGGAAAACTACTCCACTTCCGGTTTCTGGGCCGCAGGAAGGAAGTCCCGCCTCAGGCAGCAGCGCGGCGCAGCAGAGCTTGTCGGGTCCCTGTGCGCGTTCTCAGAGCCAATCACCGGCTGGCTGCTTGGCGACCTGGACACTCAGGAACCGGCTTGAGGTTTCTGGTTGGGTGTGGAGGGCTGTTCCACGGCCTGAGTGTGCTGTTCTCTGCTCCCCAAACAGGCGTCATCCCGGGGACTGAAGTCTGCCCCCGCCCCGGCGACCCTCCTCTGTGGCCTTGTGCCGCCCAGCTTTGGCTGTTAAGCTCCTTAGTGTTGTTCAGTGTTGCCACCCTGCTTGTCGAGCACTGTCAGCACTGCACCTCAGTAGCCGTCTGTACTTCCCCTGGCTCCAAGCCCGAGCATCTTCGCCGGGGGACGGATGGAGAACATCCTGGCCTTGGTCAGGGATGTGGCACTTTTGGATTAGTTTCCTGGGGGCAGCCCTAAATAGGCCTCAAATGCTGAAAGACTCAAACAGCAGACTTGTTTGGTATTTGCGTCTTGGTAGCATCAGCCTTCCTCTGTCGTTTTGAGTAGATATTTTGCCTTTTCCTAGTGTTCGGTGATCTCTAGAAATCGTGTGTGTGCTTTGTCTTGGAACAGCGTTGCTCCTCTCTGTTGTCAAACGCTGTACTGCCTGTTTCTGTGTCTTATAAGGACATTCTGCCCTATTGCGTTAAAAGGCCCAGCTCGTTCAAGTCTAATGCATGTGCGGTGCACGCGAGACCTTATTTCCAAGGGAGGTTGCAGGGAAAAGTAGCCGTCCCAGTAAGCTGTCAATTCTCCAGGAATGTGCAAAACCAAAAGCTGACCACAAATAGTTGAAGAACAGTGACTTCAGAATTCCTTTGACTCCTAGAAGTAGGGGGCCAGAATCTGAAGCAAAAAGAACAAAACAAGAAAAAGAGAATTGGTCCATGAAGGTAGGTTTAAAGATAGGTTCTTACATGCAATCCAAGGTGTTTGGATTCAATATACAAACTCAGAAGCAAAAATGTTAATTTGTTATCAGTTTGGGCCAAACCGACTCAGCTTTTCTTAGTCGTTTAAGATGTAACTGTCTGGGCATGGTAGCATACTGCTTTAATACCAGCCCTCAGGAAGTAGAGTCGGATCTCTGTGAGATCAATGCCAGACTGTAGAGTTCCAGTCCAGCCAGAGCTACACAGTTTGAGAAGACTGAGGGGAAAGGAAGGACAGAGAGCCAGGGCTGCAGAGTGAGAACATGCGTGTTCACAGGGCATGGCCTGTGCTTTTCTCACCCTGGTATAGGCACACACCGGCTCTTCTAAATAATTAGAACTTTTAGCAAAGGTTAATTCTTCATAGGTTCAAAGCTTAATTGCGTAGGCTAATTGTTAAAACTTGTTATATACCAGTAACAAAGTGTGAGGTCAGCGAGATGACTCAGCAGCTAAAGGCACTGGCACACCACTCTTGATGATATGAGTTCAGTCTCTGGAACTCAGGTGTCGGAAGGAGAGGACTGATGCCTGCCAAGTTGTCCTCTGATAGCCACATGCACGTACACACACGCACGCGTGCACACACACACACACACACACACACTTTTTTAATTTAAAAAGAAATCTATCTAAAGATGCCAATATAAAATACCTGTGAATACACTGAACAGGTGTATGAGATCTAAGACAAATATAAATATTGTTAAAAGTAATTGAGTAGGTGGAGATTTTGTCTTTTCAGTATTTTAAAGATAACATTTTATTGCAAATTAATGAAGCATTTTTATTAAAATTCTAAAAGTCTTTACAAATAATTTTTAGGTCAAAGTTTGTTGTTCTTTCGGGACACTGTTAGGTTCCATATATTGATATTTAGAATCCGCTATGAGTGAGATTGATACACATGCCCATGGCTCTACTATATTAAATGCTGGTATTTAAAGAGATATTGGATTCCTTAAACTGGGGAGTGTTAGAATACAGCCCAAGAACAGAGTTGTGTGAGAATTCTGAGTGCTTGTAAGAAAACAAGACAGGCTGGGCATGGTAGCTCCAGCAGTCTGGGAGGGAGAAGCAGGTGGATCTCTGTGAGTTTGAGGACAGCCTGGTCTACAGAGTGAGTCCAGGACAGCCAGGGCTATACAGAGAAACCATGTGTAGAAAAACCAAAAGGGAAAGGAAGGAAGGAAAAAAAAAGAAAGAAAACAAGACAAAAGTCTTATGACATCAGTTTCTTCAACAACATGGAATTGTTCTTAGATTGTGTTTGTGTTTTTCCCAGGTGTGGTGGTTAGGCTCGGAGTGAGTTTATGGCAGCCATTGTTTGATATTCATGTGCCACATGTGGGCCATCTTTGTGACTGAACACCTTCTCTTATGATTCTTTTTGACCCACAAAATAGAAATGGTCTAATGCTCTGAATAAAGTTGGCTGTTGCATGAGGCTTTGGTCTGCTTCAATTTTAGGCTTTACTCTCAAGTCCCACTGCCTTTAGAGCAGTAAACAGGAAGCATTTTCATATTGTTCTATGGTCTGAAAAACAAAAGTAAGAAATTTTAGAGTTATGTCTTTTAAATTTGAATAAACTCAGTGTGAAACCGTTTTGATACTTAATTGGTACACGAGAGTGTTTCAACCTCTCACTTCTCTGGGATTCTGATAAATTGTATTTTGCTTGGAAATCATCCATTTATAATGGGTTTTTGAGTTGTTAGCCAGCTATTCCAGAGGGTGAAGCGGGAGGCAAAGATGTTGCCTCAAAAACCAAGCAGAATTCTGCACAGGACTGTTTACTCTCTCTATGTGATCTTACACACTTTGCTTTTCTTTTTTTATAAATCAATTTCATAGACATTATTCCGTTCTCTGTCTATCATATGGGTCCTGGGAACTAGGTCATCAGGCTTGGCGACAAATGTCTCAACTCATTAAACCGCCCCTCTGGCCCCAGTTGAAAAGAAGCAGCTTGGAAAGCCAGGCACAGTGGCGCTTGCCTGTGATCCCAGCACTCAGGAGGCAGAGGCAGGCAGATCTCTGTGAGTTTGAGAAGAGCCTGGTCTACAAAGTGATTCCAGGATAGGCAAGGCTACACAGAGAAACCCTGTCTCCAAAACAAAGGTAGCAGCTTGGGAATTTAAACTTTCTGCTATATTTGAATTTTTCCTTCCTTCCTTCCTTCCTTCCTTCCTTCCTTCCTTCCTTCCTTCCTCCCTCCCTCCCTCCCTCCCTCTTTCTTTCCTTTCTTCCTTCCTTCCTTCCTTCCTTCCTTCCTCCCTCCCTCCCTCCCTCCCTCCCTCCCTCCTTCCTTTCTTCCTTCCTTCCTTTCTTTCTTTCTTTTTTTTTGAGACAGGTCTCTCTCTGTACATAGCCCTGGTTGTCCTGGAATTCCCTATGTAGATCAGGTTGGCCTCGAACTCACAGAGATCTGGCTGTCTTGCGTCCTAAATGCTGGGATTAAAGGCGTGTACCACCACCACCCGGCTGATAATCAGATTTTTTTAAAGACAAATGTAGAGCACATTTAACATTTAAACTTCACCGAGAGGGGGGTACAGAGACATCCAGTGTACCCTCTGTTCCATAGGCATCACTTTTGCCATCATGGCCCTCCACAGGGTCTGTTGTAATTGACCAATCCATCTTGGCACAACATTATCACCCAGAGCGCACCACTACCCATGGCATCTACTTTTTCTCTTGTACATTCTGTGGGTTTAGATAAACATATAATGGCATGTATCCACTGTTATAGAAGCTTACAAATGGTTATTTCTGTTCAAGATGTTCTTGTGCTGTACCCATTTTCTCGTCCCTTTCCCCAACCAATGATACTTTCACCCTTTGCATAGTTTTGTGTTTTCCAGAATGTTATGCATTTAGAATCATATATCACTGTAGCCTTTTCATAGTACCTTCTTTTACTTAGTATGTGTTTGTTTCCTGTCTTGTTTTGTTTTTTGGCTTCATGGTGTATGAACTGAAAATAGTTTTAGCATTGCACTTCATTGTATAAGTGTATTGCAATTTATTCCTTGGTTGCATCTAAGCTTTCACACTTATGATGAAAGCTACTATAAACAACTGTAATGGTTATGAGAATGCCCTCCCTCCCCCCATGGGCTTGTGTATTTGAATGCTTGGTCCTAGTTAGTGGAACTGTTTGGGAAGGATTAGGAGGTGTGGCCTTGTAGGAAGAGTTGTACCACTGGTGGTGGACTTTGAGGTTTCAAAAACCCATCCCATTCCCAGTTAGCACTCCCTGCCTCTTTTTTGTGAATCCGAAATAAGTTCTCAGCACCGTGTCCACTTGTCTGTAGCCACGCCCCTTGCCATGATGACCATGAACTCTAATAACCTCTAGAACTGTGAGCCCCAAATTAAATGCCTTGATCATGTGTTCTTATCAAAGCAGTAATAAAAATACCTAAGACAACATCAATTTTTAAGATTTTTGTGTGGACAGTTTTCAGCTCCTCTAGGTCAATACTAAGGAAGAAGATTGCCAGGTCATGTGATAAGAAACTATTTTTTTGAATTGGATAATTTTGAATTCCTGCCAGCAGCTAATGAGACCGCCTGTTGATTCAAATGCTCACCAACATGTGGTGTTGTGTTCCAGGACTGGGCCGTCCCAGTAAGTGTGCAGCAATTTCTCTGCTGTCACTTTGTTTGCATTTCTTTGATTTATTTTGTGACCATCTCTTCATGTGTTTTATGTATATGTATATCTTCCCAAGTGATGTTTTTATTTTTTATTTTATATGCATTGGTGTTTTGCTTGCATATATGTCTGTGTGAGGGTGTTAGAGGTCCTGGAACAGGAGTTACAGACAGTTGAGAGCTGCCATGTGCATGCTGGGAAATGAACCAGGGTCCTCTGAAAAAGCCACCACTGCTCTTAACTGATAAGCACTCTCTTCATCTCCCTGGTCCATTTTTTTAAAAAAAAAAAAAACTGAATTCTCATCACCAGGTTTTAGGATTTCTTTGCATATTTTGGGTAACACTCAGTCATCAGACCTGTCTTTTCAAATATTTTCCCCAGCTTGTTTTTATTCTGTTGAATTATTATGTTTCTCTGATCAAAAATTTTTATTTTGTCTTTGTGTCATGTTGGAGATTGAATCA